AGGGTTAGAGTTTAAAATAGTTGATCATCAAACTATAGAAGCTTGAATATAATACAGTGCTGATAATATTTCTATTTCCTAATATCAATACCTCAGGAAACCCTTAGATTATATTTTTGTGATTTTTACAACAAGATTGCTAGATCTCACAATAACGATTCAAGCATAAGGAATAAACACAAATACAGATACTATACACATTTAGAATCTTATAGAGTATCTTTAAACTGAGATTCTATATGTTTAAAAGTTAAAATCTGTTATTAAATTATAAAAATTAACAAGGCACCGCAGAGCGGAACATCCCTTCGCAAAAGAGGACTTCTAGGATCCCGGTGTAAATTATTACTTCCGTTCCGCATGATGCACTCATCCACTCATTCACAAGCGCGTTACTGTATCCCTTCAACTTCGTTGCGAGGGAATAATCAAGCTTCAACTGTCAGTAAGCTTTGTGCAAGTAAGTTTAACGAATGTTCGTGCAACCAGATCCTGAAATTCAAATGTGTGCAAAACGGGAACAAAGGCTCAAGGAGACATTTCTCAAAGTCTGGCAAACTGAAGTCAACAATATCTGTAGTTTAACTTATTTAAATTACAAAGTCAGTCAGCAGTCTCCATTTACGCCTTTTTGCTCTCAGTCCAATCCATCTAGTCGTGATAAAATGTCTTTTTATTCTTATAAATAGGACATAACCGTTTAGTATATCATTAATTGACTATCATTGGGTGTTGATACACAGTTAGATTTAACATCAGAGCATATGCTTAAGAGGATGCAGATTGCCATGATGTAAAGTTATATTTAGCTTTTTTTGGTAAAAAAAAAAAAAAAAAAAAAACTTCAGAAATATTTTAATATACATTTATATACAGCAACGTTTGACGATTTATCTCGAGTTCAGCGACCATCTATACTTTTGGCATTATGGTCTTGGCAAGGCTAAAAATAAGTGTCGCTAATAATTCACAAATATTGTTCTAGAAAAGAAATAAAATTACTCCTAAAATCGCTAAAACTTAAACGTGCTATTTATAAATGCCAGTTTTTAGGATAAAATTCCTGACTTTGCCTTTCTGAAATCTGAAATTAAATATATGCTTTCAGCTATAAACTGTATACTGTGGATGAGAAATACAAGGTGAATACATCAATTTATGGTAAAATACACAGCTCAGTAAAACTGATTTTGCTTTATGCCATTCATTCCTTCATTATTCAGAAACATATCCGAATCAGTCACAAAAAATGAATAATCATTTCAGGTTTCTTTTGTTTTAATCATCAAACATTACAAAAAGAATTTTGTTTAAAAGAAGCTTGCAGCCATTATGCAATTCGACTTTTTTATCCTTTAATATTTAAGCTATGTGTTACACCTCGCTCGTGTACCAGGCATTTAATTTACCCCTATTTTGACTTTGGTATAAATAAATCAATTAACTGTTTATCTGACTAGACATCGCTAAGCAGCACTTGTAGTTAAGAAATGTGCACCAAAAAAAGACAGGCTGGTCCCAGTTGATATACTCCTAGTAATGAATATGAATAATTACATTTAGAACTTTATAAAACTACAATTCTCGCAAGGGTCTGCAAACCGGTTATGTTGACATAACTCATTTAATCCAAATGGAATTAGATTTTCTTTTTTGTAGAGTACCATGTTAGTTCTTGGCGTGGTCATTTTCGGACTGAATAGGCTGCCACTGGTGAAGTATTTGCTTAGGTTTATAGACATATTTGTCGAGCGATCAATTACTTAATGCTTTCATTTTGACCCATGACATGGTATACTTCATATAGATCAATCAATGAGGTTTCTGAGATTTGTACTTTTTAAATATGATTTTTTCCCTTCACTTTTTTCTCCATGCTAATCCCTTGGTACTTGTTTGGGTGGTTTTTGTTTGTGTGTTTTGACAGCGACGGTATGTCGTATTATTTATCAAAGGCGTAAAATCGAAAACTCTTGATATGCTTGTACCTTACCCAAGGACAACGACCCGTAGTTGAATAATTCAGCTGAAAATATTAATTTTGCATAGATTCTTTTTTGAAAATCGATATATATTACTGAACTTTTCTCTTTTTCCAAATACGGGGGAAAAAGAAACATAAATATATTTTTTCATTTAGAAGTAATCTGGATTTTTAGATTTTCTACAAGTGATTTGGAAGTGACCCCCCCCCCCCTTTAAAAAAAATATTAAGTAAAATTTTTAATGTATATGTATATTCACAGTTTGCATCGACATTTAAATCTATTTACTTTTATAAAAAGATACACTATACTAATTATAATTTGGATCCGTTGCAAGGTAAATGTTTTCTTTGCCCATCTGCAAACTGTTTTCATGTTTTTGAGAGTTGGGTGTATTTTTGTACTCACTTATATTATTGCGTATAATTTTTACATTGAAGAAGTAAATTCTTCTACGATAATATTCCCAAGATTTAAGAATATGGGTAGTCGTTCTATCTCTGCTCATTTATAAGATAACCCGAAAATTTTACAAACCATGAAAATCAAGAAGAGAAAGAGAGGTATTTTCAAAGACCATTAAATTATCTAAAATTTTATCTTGCAAAAAGCACTGTGAATTTCCAATTTGCATTCACAACCCCTATTTGTGTCATCTGCAAAGTAGAGCAGCATTTAGGGATTATATGCCCAGGTTCTTAATTCTGTCTGTCCATCTGTCAAACATCATTATTGGGAACCGTAAGAGGTAGGGATTTTATATTTTGTTTGGTACATTTTACAAAATACCAGGGTTGCTGACCTTGAACTCGATCTTTGATCTCTTTAAAATAGTTCATAATACCCAAGTTGCACTATAATCTTTGATCTTTAAGTGGACTTTCTGTACTTTATAATATGTGCACTGTTGGTCATGAAACGTTTTAAAAAATACAAGCATGCTTGTTGACATCGACTTACATTAGCAATAGTCTTATCTGTCAATCTATATCTTTTTAAAGGGCTTTCATAACTAGCATAAGATCCCTAAAATATTAAGAAATTGTAGACTTTCTATGATGTTCAATTACGGTATTTTATTACTACATTATCTTTTTATCATAAATATATCTAAATTATTTTCTTTGCATATGATCGTCTGTGAAAAAAAATTAAAATAATTCAAAATGATCGTTTAAAGGGCTGTAAATTTTCTCATGAATTAAATGCAATGTAGATAAAAGAAAATAAACGTTTAATGGCTTGTCTTCAGCTGCTTTTTCATATCGTTTGTCCGTTTGTGACAAAAGAATATATAATTTTTCATAAAAGTATTTGTGGCAGTGGTATTTCAACACTAGTATTTTATTTTTGAGAATTCATAAACTGAAAACAAGTTGGGTTCTGGGTTCTTAATAGGTGTCCAGATTTCTGAGTGTCTTTGCATTCCAATTTTTCACGATATTTGAAAATCCTTATTCTAGATTTTGAACACAGGATTTTGTTGCGAACAAATGCACTTGCTTGTACTTTATACCATCCTAGACACCGCCTTGCTTGATCTTTATGCAGATCAACGAATTACATTGGAAAGCCTAAGATTTTTGAAACCGCGGACAAAACATACCAAAAACTCACTGAATTTTTAACACTGGGAAAAAAATTCCTAAGCGCAGTATGGTATATTTATCTCGTTTTCCCTTTTCATTTGAAATCGTATACAACAAGTGATTCATTTTGAACATGCAAATAGAAGTGGAAAAGAGGGAACTTCATATTTTTGGGTAAGGGTTGGTGTTGAAACTCGGAGTTGGGGAGGAGGGGCGCTTTTTATTTGTTGTGTCTTTCAGACTTTATCACATATGGTGTAAATGTTGTTATGTACAGATTCGTACTTTCAATACAACATGGAAGGTAACACCGGTATATTCTTAAATAAAAATTTGCATATTGATCAATTCTAAGTTTTTCTTCGATGACCTGTTTTATTATCTGTGAACCAAATAACTAAATTCAGGGTATAATATTTACATGACAATATGAAGTCAGGTTGCTGTACTTTCTGTGTCATCGTAAGACAATGTGTATCAAAGGAGAGATTAAATAAATTAGATAGCTTCCAAAGCCTTGTCTTTGCTCTTACATTGTTCATCATTCTGAGGATCCGTCCCTTAATACATGGATAGATAATACGATCCTCTGTTTTGCAGACGGTTATTTTTTATATACGCGTATTCAAGCCTTGAATGCGCTTTTAAGGTGTATAATGATTGTTTGTAAAACTGATTTAAGAACCCCATTGCGCAGCATTCAGTTTATAAGGCTTGTAACACAAGTAGACTCCAGTGAAAATCATGTCACTCTGCGGACACGCGCTTTAAATGTGATTGAAATCGTCGAGACGGTCAGTTCATGCAGCTCTTACAAATTATCTGAAATTCCCAACATCAATTGTACCGTGTACCGGTGAAAAAGAAAAGGTCTTTCTTATTGAGTTCGACGACTTTTCCCCTCTCAATTCTGCTACGCATCTTTTTTTCTTTATTATAAAAAAAATCGCGAGTATTTGATCATCCTTGCATTATAAGATCAAGATATAAACCTAACTTTGTTTTCAAAAAATCGGTCTATTTCTTCTGTACGCGTATTTGTCAAAAATTACTGGAATCATAATGATTATCAACAGATGTCTATACAGGTATCTTCAATGGTCTTAATAAATCATATTTAGAGAATAAAACTTTTTATTGATATGAAGATGTTGCGAAATGAACTTTTTAGTTTGAATGGATACCCACAATCTATATGAAGCATAACCCAAATAACATTTTAATTTTTTTTTAATTACGTAAAGTTTAGATATACATATATTACATCCATTCTGGATGGTCTGAGCGTACTCTTATTATGCATAGGTATGGGTATCGATCATACACGGATACCCCCAATTTCCTTGTTCCACTGGAAAATATACAAATAAATATTTCCACGGAATTCATCAAATTCCCAACATCTCTAATGATAAGTTTTCCTTACCTTTTTGACTTTGAGAAAGCTGGGGTCCCACAAGAAGCAGTCCTATAACCCAGCATAAGAGCTTCCCCGGAACACCTGAAGGTCCCGTCATAGTAGCTCAGTATGCAGTGATACACATCAATATACTCTTCTCTTTTAATACCCGAGTCGTCCGACCGGTTCCACAACCTTAGACTCCTCAAGTTTGATCGCTCAATGTCTCTTTAAATTTTCTTCATTCATCACTTTTTAAATTGAAAGGAATTGAATTTCAGTGCGGTGATTTAATTTTTTAATATTTACCACGTGTAGTAGTGATAAGTTTGTTGACATGTCAACCTGATGTTGGTATAGGATGGCGAACAGCTGATACATAGCACCCGGTTTGTCAATTTGTCTAATAATTGTTTGTATCCAGTTTTTATCACGTGTCATGGCTTGTCAGTTTGTCTATAAAAATCGTTTGGGTCCAGATTTTAAAAAGTACCACTGAGCCAGTGAGTCATTTTTTTTTTTTTCAAAAAAACGGTGTAGATTGATAAAGGTACATCTTCGAATAAAATTAGATCTACGTCAGGTGGTCGGTAATTAATAGAGGGAGTTTTAAGGATCCTCTATGTGCACTTGAGGATTTTAGCAAATTATGTGGTATGAAGGTGTAAATATTGAGTTTCTATCTAATTTTTTAATATAGGATAAATAATATAATACTAACAACAAAAATTTATTTTAAATGAAATTGTGGAGAGAATCCCGGAAAAAATGTTCAACGACGAAGTATAATATAGTAAATTACCATTAGTTTTTTTTTAATGGGAAAATAAATGCAAATACTTGGTATACAGTGTTCAATTTTACCTCGGCTTAATGAAATGTAAATACTGATTGAATTGATTACAAATTGATTTATGAACTGTAGATTGCAATTGAATTTTTGTATGCAGTGAAAATAAGGTATAGAAAGGGGCATAATTCCTATTACTTACAACAGATTGTGCTTCGTTTCATAAAAAAAAAAACAATTGGCAAAAATAGAAAATTATTCTCAAATACTTTAAGAGTTTCTACATTAAAAATACATACATACATGACAAGAGATAATATACATAAAAAAATTAGCCATCACCATCTAGAAAAAATGTCTAGACCTGGGCTATCCACTCTTTTTTCGTAGTGTAGAGTTACTCACTGTACGATTGATTAGTGAACGTATTACCCATTGTATGATTGGTAAGCGAACTTATTACCCAGTATATGATTGGTAAGCGTACTTATTACTCATTGTATGATTGGTAAGCGTACTTATTACCCTGTGTATAGTTGGTAAGCGTACCTATTACCCAGTGTATGATTGGTAAGCGTACTTATTACCCAGTGTATGATTGGTAAGCGAACTTACTGCCCAGTGTATGATTGGTAAATGTACTTATTACCCAGTGTATGATTGGTAAGTGTAATTACTACCCATTTTATGATTGGTAAGCGTACCTATTACACGGTGTATGATTTATGGTAAGCGTACTTATTACTCATTTTATGATAGGTAAGCGTACTCATTACCCAGTGTATGACTGGTAAGCGTACTTATTACTCATTCTATGATTGATTTCATATTTTTATTTTGTTATTTTTTTTAATGTACAGACACACAAACAAGATTACATATCTTACCTAGTGGAGCTGGCTGTGCACCCATTGCCCTTCCCGCTCCAGGAGGCTTTCATGGGTTTAAAATGTAAAAAAGTTAGTTTGACATTCAAAATCTTCAGGTACGGAGTTCCATAGAACTAGTGCTGCATCTCTAAAAGACATTTTACCATAAGAAGAAGTTCCATCTTTTGGTATTTCTAAAATATTTGAATAACTAAAATTGTATGTCACTTTCTTAAAACTCACTAAGTCTGACAGACATCTTGGAGAAAGGTCATGTATAATCCTTAAACATCCAAGAGCCATACTGCGCATTATTCTAATCTCTAGGGAATGTAATTCTGCCTTGTGCAGCAATGATTCATAGCTACTTTCCAAATCTTCATAAATAAAAACGTAAAGCTCGTTCCTGAATGTTTTCAATTTTTCTGGTGTTTTTCTTAGACCAAAAGTGCCAAACAAGAGGACAGAAATTAAAATCAATCATAAATACTGGTTTCTTAGCAGAAGTTTTCTTACTAAGGCAATTGCCTGAAATTTAGTTGGATTAGCCTGCACATAGTTTTCTTTAAACCATATCAATGAATATCAATGATATAGAAATCTCATCTTGCAAATTATTTATCAAAGTGTCAAATCCTTTTGCCAATAGGCTAATGTATTATGACCTGCATAATTAAATAAAGACCCATTCTTTATGAAAAAAAATGTCATTTATAAAAACATTTAAAAGTAGTGGTCCAAGTATAGAACCTTGTGGCACTCCCTTTTTATACCATCCCAACTACTGACAACTCCCTGAAGTTTCACTTGCTCATGCTTGTTGAAAACGTTCAGACTAGTAGCTACCCAGAATAGAAACATAATTTGGAGATAGACAGGGCTCTAATTGGCGACTAATTTAGTCGCCATGGCGCCTAAAAAAATTTCATAAGTCGCCAAATTGGCGACCATTTTAAATTGACTTGGCGATCGTCAAATGCCGGAAATTTTCACATTTTTAACATTTTTTCTGAAAAAAACTAAAAGAAATTTAAAAAAGGAGTACATTATTTACATGTCGTGTTTTCTTAGGTACGTCATGGGTCCCTATATTCTATTATCTTTTAAAGTTGGCGCCTCAGAAAAATTGCCTGGCGACTTAAGATTTGCATTGGCGACTAAATTTTTTTTGATAAGGCGCTAGCTGGCGCCTAAATTTTAGAAGCCACTTAGAGGCCTGATAGACAATAAGCAGAGAGTTTTCTTAATAGTATATCATGTGGCAGACAATCAAAAGCCTTAGAGAGGTCCATCAAAATAGCAGCCCCATGTAAATTCTGATCTAAAGTCATTTCCAGTCTTCTAGGAGTCGCAGTAGTGTAGTTTGTCATCTATGACCTTTTCTAAATGCACAAAGAGTATTATTGAAAATACCATCAAAATAGTCAGAGAGTTGTACACTCAAAACTTTTTCAAAAACCTTTGACACAGTAGATAAAATACTGGAGGGTCTATAATTATTATTTTTTATACAAATGGTCTTCTTTTTTGTACAGAGGGATGATCTGAGCTTATATTAGTCTATCGGGAAAAATATCCTTATGTATTGATAGATTAATAAGAATAGAAATATGTTTACTCAAAATACGTGCTCCAAAGGACAAGGTATGGTAACGGCCGATTCTGGCCCCTTTTTTAATGAAAAAATCCGAACACAGTTAAAATTGTGATAGTTTGTATTTAACAACTTAAAATGATGCTTGTTTTAAAACCAGCTCTAATTTTGATCCAAAGCTTACACAGAGACCACAAGAGTGTGCAGAAGTAGGACATTTTCCCGAATTTCCTCAATTCTGGTGGAATTTCATAAAATTTGAAAATACTTTTCACTTCTAGAAACATAGAGCACAAGCTTGCCTATCTGAGATTTTTACACATGAGATGCATCTGATACTAGTGTATGAAATATATAAATTTGGTAGATAGGCAAGCTTGTGCTCTATGTTTTCTGAAACAAAATGTGCTGTAAAATCGATGAAAATTTGCATAAAAATGAGAAAATTCTGAAATTAACATATTTTCTGACCTTCTTGTTACCTCTGTGTATCCAATAACTTAGAACCAGTACTCATTTTGTGGTAGGGGTAACAACAGCTTTCTATTGATAAACTGTTGCATCATTCTAAAAGACATCCCAAACCAGGGGCCAAAAAGGGGTCTTAGCCTATCTTGTCCTTTCATAAGTTTATCAGATATTGTATCCACACCAGTTTATTTCTTGACATTAAATTTATTTATTAACTTAGTCATTTCATCTTCATCAGTTTTCTTGAAATCAAATTTCTGAGAAAATGGCATTCGGACTACAATGGTCTTTTTCATCAAAAACTACATTTTCCCTATTTCACCAATCTGATTAAAATCAGATCTTTGTTACGCTCCGAAATGCTGATGGTCGCTGTACAAAGCGACCATCAGAATTTCGGAGCGTAACAAAGATCTGATTTTGATCAGATTGCTATTTCACTTGCCACATTAGCATAAAATTCATGAGAATTCTTGCATGTTTCTCCTGGATCATTCAAAATTTCGTCATTTTTCCATAAAAGAATTGTGTTTTTATAGGCTTTGATTTTTTGGATAGGAATGGTTTGATAGTTTTCCAAAAATCTGAACTTTTTTGCCCCCCCCCCCCCTCTACCCATCTTTCTTGGAAATAATTTCTTACTGATACCCTTTTAAGTCTTGTAGCATAATTTCTTTGTTTTCTAAATTCTTTCTAGTTCTTATCTGTCTTGCACTTATTAATTTGTTTTTCAACATTTGTACTTTTGTAAATAGCCCTCCTTACGCCACAATTCATATATGGTACACTAATTTTATGATTACGCTTTTCCCCCATGTTTGTCTGCACAGTTTACAAATGCTTTTTCAAAATTTTGATAATTTACCTCTAAGGCATCATTTGCAACTTGGGGGGGGGGGGGGTCAAATTTTTGTAAGTCTAAAAGATAAGATTGTACATCAAAATTTTTAAAACTATATAATATATCTATATCTATCTATCTCTCTCTCTCTCTCTCTGTATATATATATATATATATATATATATATATATATATATATATATATATATATATATATATATATATATATATATATATATATATATATATATATATATATATATATATATATATATATATATATATATATATATATATATATATATATATATATATATATATATATATATATATATATATTATATATATATATATATATATATATATATATATATATATATATATATATATATATATATATATATATATGTATATATATATATATACATAAAACTTTGTAACAGCCAGTGCATGATTTTGAAAGTGTATATACATGGCCGTAAGAACGGGGGGGGGGGCACGCCCCCCCCCCCCAATAATTTTGCCGCTACATGTATATAGATTACTATAGAAA